AGATATGTTAATCTAGACCTTGCCAGGATTGTGTAGGATTCGACGGATCATGAATCGGAGTCCCGGATACTCCGAAATCGCGAACCCTAGTGTTAAGGTTTTAGAATCATCGATCGTGTGATCGTGACGAATCTAACCGTCCGATCGAAATCAGATTTACGGGACGAATGTCCTAGGATTAAAGGAACGTATTGTGGGCATAGGAATAACTTTTAATTGATGCACGCACTTCTAGAAGCCGGGGGTCAGGGTTTTATTTAAACTTTTATACCGAGCAGTTTTATTAATATATTTTATTCTGGTATTTGAATCAGGCATTCGGGCACCAGTTGACCCGCAGGAGGGACCTTCCAAAGGTCCAGCGAGCTCGGACCAACCGTGAGTGGACTTTTTATTTTCATAAATAAATTTATGCAATTTACTTTCAGTATTTGATCTTGAATAAGTTTTATTCAAAGAATAGTGTTTTATAAGTGAGACATGCTTTTAAATATTATGATTTGCATGCTGCAGAGTGGAATATCCTTTAGAGACACAGAAAAAGAGAATTTTAGCTAAACATCAGATAAATGGCAGCAGAGTCCAGCCTTAACAGAAATTCAGTTATTTATCAGATTTTTCAACAAACTTTGCTTATTACTATTATTATTATTTTCTAAGCCACCTTAGGTACCCAGATATACAGATGTTGCCTTCGGATATGATGATGTCTACGGACATCCAGGTTGCCTTTGGATTTTATCAGTTGCCTTCTGTTTAGTCAGCATGCTTGACAGTTGCCCCACGAGTTCCTTGGTACCCGGACTCGTGCGGAGCCAGGAATGCGGATCAGGTTGACTACGGTCCCCTGAATCCTGCTAGTTTGCGGCTCGGGTTGACGGATATCAGGAATTGATGGCAAACCAGGAATTGACGGAAATAGAGGGGTGTGGTAGTTTTAAACGGATTTTAATGCTTTACAAGAATAATGTTAACCATGAATGTGTTTGGTATATAATGCATGAATACATTGATTTCAGCATGTGTATGATAAAGAAAATGAGTTAGTTTTGTATAATTGTATTTTTACTGTGGGGTTACTATGTTCTTACTTATTTTTCTAAACTTTATTTTTGGGGTCCACTCACCTTTTTAATGTTTTGCGCCCCCAGGCTGTAGACGTGCATCCGAGAGCCACCACAGGGCATTCCCCGCTTCCCGTTCTTCCCCATTTTGATGTAGGGTTCCTTGGTTCACAACGGTTATCTCCTTTGTAATTAAACCTGTATAGATGCTCTGAAATTGCCCTGGAACATCTTTAACTGTTGGAACTTACTTACTTTTGTATACTGGCAGTTGGTGTATATATTTAGGTACTTGTTGACAGGTGTAAACTTTGGGAACGTTCAATTTACAGGGGAGACTCTGCCGAATTTTCGGTAGAAGTCAGGATTTAAGGGAATTAAATTTTAATCAAAAAGGGCAACCAAGTCAATTGTGTTCGGCAACCACCCGGTGTCGATCACAAACAGGGTTCGGGTCGGATTCCAAAGCGGAATTTGGGTCGGGTCCTGTCAC